AGGTGAAGTTCGACTTACAGAGGACAATGAGTCTGAACGCTAAAACATGAAAGGCCAGGGGCTATACGACAGCGCGGGCCTGTTTCTCGAATGTTGCCAGAGGGTCATTTGTGCCTGGTCCCATGCCATTGGCCCGCAATAGTATCTGCCATCGCCGTCAAGCCGATGGCTAGTTTTTGCTAGTCCTGCACTTTTGTAGAGACCACACAACTTATCTTCAGCTGGTCATGATGTGGTCGGTCGGCAACGTCGACTTCCTGCGGCGCAAATAGTTGTCGCTTGTCGATGCGCAGGAAGACGTATTGTCAAGAGCAAAAGACGAGGTCTGGCCCATTTTTCCGGAGGCCTCTGCAGTGCCCCTTATGGCGATGATCATGTTGAGGAGGTTTCGAGCCCACCTAGTAGGGGTTTACACAATAGGGAGAAAAGCAGTAAAAGTACCTCGGTCACTGTCCAGTCTAGTATCCGTAGCTTCGCAGTATACGTAAGGTACCTTAGGGTCCGGAATGACTGCCCGCGCTAACCTCGACTCGCTTAGCGAAAGTATCTAGGTTAGACGTATATGCTATTATAGCTATCAGCCTCGTTAACGATGGCTTCGTTGCTAGCAAAGTCGATAGCCTCGCCCGCATGACTCACGCTGCGTAGAGATAGCTTCACAAGGTCTTCAGCCACGGAAAAGCTTGTCTTGGCCACGAACTTGACACGCCGATGGCGATGATCATAAAAAGAACCCTCGCAGAGAACAGCGAAGTGTTGCAGGCTTCTGCAGCAGGAACATTGGCATACACACTCGTAAATTATGCTACTTGAGGCGACTGGCCCAGTTCTCATCCCAACGCCGGAAAACTTTGCAACAAGATGCCTACGCACTCGATGAAAAACGAACAACATGGTCTAGGGTAAGAAGCTGTAATCCCTGCAAACCATCAGAGCATCCCAAACCCGATATAAACATGCAAAGGGTGGAAATCACCAATGCCACCCTTGAGCCCGCAAAGTAAAACACCCCCGTGATCCTGATACCCAAATGCTGCAAACCTCTTGTATACCATCAAAGCGTGTCATCAACCGTCAGATCCATCAAGTCCATTGCATTCGTGTTTCAACCGCTGCACATGACGCAAGACTCAGGGTTCTCAATGCTGCCTGTCGGGATGTCAGAATCTGTCTGGGGTACGATGTAGCAAGCAACTCACATGCAAGAACAGCTTCAGAATAGATATCCATCTCACGTTCCTTGCTGTCTTCTGCCTTATCCTCGGCATCGGGGGTCTTGCTACCGGGGGTCTGAAGCTCCTCTATCTTGAGCTTATCGGCAGGCTCCATAGGGAGAGCGCGGGGGCTACCGCCCTCTTCAATATCAGCCTTCATGTTGTCGGGCTTCTGAGCAGGTGCCGTCCGAGGAGGAGGCGTGACGCTAGGCGTAGGAATGCCGTTGTCTTGGGAAGAACCCTCGTCTTTCTTTGCATACATAGGCCTCGGGCCCAGGTTCGTGGAAGGAGATGAAATATGACCCGGCGGCGGCGCGCGCTTCTTGTTGAGGACCTTGCTGCTGATATTGCTGTCGGCAATTTTCAACGCCTCCTGGTCGACAGTGAACTGAATGGGGGCAGCTGCAGCTTGCGTGCGCAGGTAGTACATGCCGGTCTTCAGCCCGAGCTTCCAGCCTGCGAAATGCATGCTAGTGATCTTGCCCATGGTCGGGTCTTTCATGTGAATGTTGAGGGACTGGGACTGGTCGATAAAGGCGCCACGGTCGGCGGCCATCTGAACGACGGTACGTTGGGAAATTTCCCAGACGGTTTTGTACAGGGCCTTGACCTCGGCGGGAATGTTGGGAATGTTCTGCACGGAGCCATTCTCAGCAATAATGCGGTTCTTCATGGCATCAGACCACAAGCCCATGTCGACGAGGTCCTTGAGAAGCCAAGGGTTGACAACCTGGAACTCACCAGCCAAGACGCGACGCTGGTAAATGTTGGAGGTGTAAGGCTCAAAGCATTCGTTGTTGCCCAGAATCTGGGAAGTACTGGCGGTTGGCATGGGGGCGACGAGCAAGCTGTTACGCACACCATGCTGCTTGATCTGTTCCTTGAGAGAATCCCAGTCCCAGAGGTCGGAGGGCTTGACTCCCCACATGTCATATTGAAGGACGCCCTGTGAGACTGGGGAGCCTTCATAAGACGAATAGGTGCCCTCCTCCTTGGCTAGCTGCACTGACATGGTGAGAGCAGCGTGGTAGATGGTCTCGAAGATCTTCTTGTTCAGTTCACGAGCCTCAGGCGACTCGAACGGCAGTCGCAAAGCCAAGAATGCATCAGCGAGACCCTGCACACCGAGGCCGATGGGCCGATGGCGCATGTTGCTGTTGCGAGCTTCCGGGACGGGGTAGTGGTTGACGTCGATAATCCTGTTCAGGTTGCGAACAACAACCTGGGTGACATCGTGTAGCTTCTGGAAGTCATAGATTCCGTCGTTGTAGTTCACGAAAGAAGGGAGAGCAAGGGACGCCAAGTTGCAAACAGCGACCTCGTCAGGGGCCGAGTACTCAATGATTTCCGTGCAAAGGTTGGAGCTTCGAATGGTGCCGAGATTCTTCTGGTTGCTCTTGCGGTTGGCATGATCCTTGTAGAGCATGAAAGGGTTGCCGGTCTCAGTCTGGGCCTCGAGAATGGCATACCAGAGCTTCTGGGCCTTCATGGTCTTTCTACCCTTGCCTTCGCGCTCGTACTTCTCGTACAAGGCTTCGAATTCCTCGCCATAGCAGTCGGCAAGACCCGGGCACTCGTTGGGACACATCAGTGTCCAGTCGCCGTTCTTCTCCACTCGCTTCATGAAGAGATCAGGGATCCAAAGGGCGAGGAAAAGGTCACGGGCACGGACCTCCTCCTTGCCGTGGTTCTTGCGGAGGTCCAAAAACTCGAAGACGTCGGCATGCCAGGGCTCGAGGTAGATGGCAAAGGCACCGGGGCGCTTGTTGCCACCCTGGTCGACATAGCGGGCGGTGTTGTTGAAGACGCGGAGCATAGGGGTAACACCGTTGGAGGTGCCATTGGTGCCGGCGATGTAGGAGCCAGTGGCACGGATGCGGTGGACGTTTAGACCAATGCCGCCGGCCATTTTTGATATCATGGCGCAGGTCTTCAGAGTGTCGTAGATGCCCTCAATAGAGTCTTCCTTCATGTCGACGAGAAAGCAGGACGACAGCTGTGCCTGGGGTGTACCGGCGTTGAACAATGTGGGCGAAGCGTGGGTGAAGCACTTGCTCGACATCAAGTTGTACGTCTCAATGACGCGCTCAACATCGTCGCCCCAGATGCCAACGGCAACACGCATGATCATGTGCTGTGGTCTCTCGGCAATCTTGCCATCAAGCTTGAGAAGATAGGATCTCTCCAAGGTCTTAAAGCCGAAGTATTGGTAGTTGAAGTCGCGGTCGTAAACGATGGCAGAATCAAGCTCCTCCTTGTGCCTCATGACACAATCGTACGTCTCCTTCGCAATCATCGGGGACAAGCGGCCGTTCTTGGGGTTCACATAGTGGTAGAGATCGCTGACGACTGAAGACCATTGCTTCTTTGTCTGCTTGTGGAGATTGGAGACTGCAATACGGGCAGCAAGGATGGCATAGTCGGGATGTGTGACAGTCATGTAGGCGGCAGTTTCGGCGGCCTGGTGATGACCACGTTAGCGATTGACAAGCGAGTGGGAAGGTTAGGTGTAAGATCTCACCAAATCATCAAGTTGCACAGTTGTAACGCCTCCGTAAACACCAGAGATGACCTTTTGGGTAATGGCGACCGGGTCAACGTGGTCCATGTCGAGGCCATAGCATAGCCTCGACACTCTGGCCGTGATCTTGTCGAACTGGACGCGCTCCTGGCGCCCATCTGTATTCCGTTAGAAGACTAAGGATTCATGATACGCGTCTGCGATGGACGTACCGCGCTTCCTCACAAACATGGCGCCTGAATTCGGCAGTGAGGATAAAGGGGGAGGTAGCGTTGGTTGTTGGAGCCGTCAAAGCGGTGGACACGCAACACGGGAGCAAGAAGATAAATCGAATGAGGAGTATCGAGAACACCAGGGTATCAGAGGCCTCTATCCAAGACGTCAAGAAAGGGTGGTGGTTTTGTTGGTTGTAGGAGGGTGAAAAAAGATGAGAGGGTCAGGAAGTGCTGCAGATTTATTGTCGTTGCCAAACGGCACAGTCCATGCTAAATTCGCGCTCGCGTACGCGCGACGCGCCTGAGCCAGAGAGGGGCAGCACGCTCTTACGAACATGATTCGCTAAAAACACCATCCGACCTCCTTACACTGTTCCTTAGTCAGAGTTCCGCCCCTCGGTTTTGCGGTCTTTGCCCTCGCATCCGACTCCCCAGCCAACCTGGGAGACAACAACAACAACTTGACTAATCCTAGCCTTCGAAATCAGTCCCGAGACGACTAAACTCCACTGAGGGTGCTCGCGCCAGAGTCGGGTTGCCGCTTGCAACGTGCGAGATGACTTCAGTTCAGCGTCTTGCTTAGTTTCTTGCATCTGCGTCAGATTTTTGATCAAGAAATGAAAAGTTGAAGGGGCGGGACTGGAGATCCTGTGAAAACATGCAACAGGTGCTCAAGTGTCCTCCAAGCGGCTATGTACCATTTTCTTTAATTGATTTTTTTCGTCAAAGCTGCAGGCACTTAACGCGTGTCGCGAGAGTGGACACCATGCTTGCAGCGTATCACGCACTCACGTGATCTGGTGAGGCCAAGTGGTGAGGCCAAATAGCGAGGCAAGCTCTGACTACGGAATTACCTAGTAATCTGCCTTGGTGTGGTATAAATTCCAGGGAAACTGGTGCTCAGGGTCGAACTTGTCTCAGTGCCGTGTTCTTTTCTGGCTCCTCATGAGGCTCCATGCGCCTGCAATAGCACCATCACGGCCGAACCATTGGTTCCTACCCCTCCTTCAACAACGACGAGCCTTTCTCAAGTCAGCTTCCATCGTCACCATGGCGGCCGCAGACGCGCCCAAGTCGGCTTTTCAGCCAAGGTACATTGATGTGTGTAACCTCACTCGCATTTGATAGCTTTTGAGCATGACCTGACCGTAATTGATGATTAGATCGGCATCAACTTGGCCGATCCCATTTTCCGCGGCATGCATCATGGGAAGAGACGCCATCCTGATGACTTGGACGCGGTCATCCGCAGGGCACAGCAAGTCGGCTGCTCCAAGCTGATTGTCACCGGGTCCGACTTTACCAGTTGCCGAGATGCCCTCGAGATCGCCAAGCAGTATCGTGCGTAAATGACGGACAACACGCACCATGTTAAGCCATGCTGACATACAGCTCAGCCAGCATCGTTTACACCACCATCGGCATCCATCCGTGCAGTAGTGCAATCTTCAGCACTTTAGATGAGGGTGCCGAGGGTGCACATTCCGATCCCGACCCAGCTCAGGCTATCCCCGAGCACCATCAGCCAGACCCTGCCAAGACAGAGGCCATAGTCTCCGAGCTGCGAGGCCTCATCAATCATGCGGCTGCCTCCAACGCCGGTCTCGTCGCCTTAGGCGAGTTTGGTCTTGACTATGACCGTCTGCACTACTGTTCAAGGTCCATTCAATTGCATTCGTTCGCTGCACAGCTTGATCTCGTTCTAGAAATCCAGCCCCAGCTGCCTCTTTTCTTACACTCCAGAGCCGCCCACCAAGACTTTGTGAGCCTGCTCAAGCAGAAGTTTGGCGAAAAGCTTGAGAAGCTCGAGAAAGGCGGCGTTGTTCACAGTTTCACCGGCACTATCGAAGAGGCGATGGAACTGATGGATCTAGGTCTTTATATCGGCATCAATGGCTGCAGCTTCAAGACCGAAGAGAACTGCAAAGTCGTCAAAGAGATAGCTTTAGATAAGATGATGTTGGAGACCGACGGCCCTTGGTGCGAGATTCGGCCTAGTCACTTTGGCTACAAGTACTTGATAGAGAGGAAGCCAGATGTAAATGGTCTCACCACCACTGCAGGCACGGATATTGCTGCGCAGCCCCATACGAAGAAGAAAAACCAAAAGAAAGAGTCCGAGGTGCCGGAACGCTTCAAGGTCGTCAAGAAGGAGAAGTGGGAAGAAGGTGCGATGATCAAGGGTCGCAATGAACCGTGTACCATCGAACGAGTTGCCAAGGCTGTGGCCGGCATTAAGGAAGTAGATGTTGAGCAAGTCTGCGAGGTAGCTTGGAGTAACACGGTCAAGGTTTTTGGCCTAGACTAATAGACGATGTTGACTGCATCAAGGGGACTGGCAATGGGGGTTATAGAAATGCGACAGGGCGCTACGCTAATCTTGACAAGACAGGCCCTTCTCCAGATGCTCCGATCTAAGCCTCGGCCGTCTATCTCGTCTTATAATCCAGATCCTCTGTGCCCTCTGATTCTTCCGTGCCGCACAGCCCCAAGGGTGACTCCTTCTTCGCCTGTTAACCATCCCGGCATCCGCTGTCCCTCTATAATACCGTTCTCAACCAGCCGTCGTACGCCAGCGAACACGTGGGCCCCATACAGAGTGACTTTCACATTGGGAATCCAACCCGATACTTCGTCGTTTGAGACATGACTACCCATTTCCTCGTCATCCACACCATATTTTCGTCGAACAGGAAAAGGGTCTTCGATGACAACATCCACGCGCTCGATACCCAAGCCGTCATCCAGCCTGGCAGTGCTACTGAACCTCGCCTGAGCGCAAAGCCGAGCCCGTTTCAACGAACAGTGACTGTCATAGAGAGCGTCACCGTTCCTTTTGTTAGCCGTCCTTTTCGTCGGGTTCGAGCTTTCGTCGGACGATTCTTCAGACAACGGCGGAGTGGGCAGCGTGTTGTCAAGCGGTGACTCGTTCTTCTTTTTGTCGGCATAGAGATTCCATCCGCCGCCAGCCGAGTTTGCACGACCGACACCTCTTGCATGTAGGAGGGCCGAAATATTCTTGGTCGAGATGTTTGTGGGTTTCAGCATGTACCTCTCTCGTGGCCGAGACAACGCCTTGGGAATCCCCTCAATAACTAGGTTGCGGAAGCTTTTGGACTCTGCTGCGCCTAGCGACCCTATGGTCTGTGATTTTGACAAGTAAATGTAGTGTGAAGCATCTGGAAATGCCATGTAGAGTGTCCTCGAACAATCAACATCGGAGTCCGAGGGCGCGAGACTATCTCCAAGGTGGGCCATGCTAGTGTTGTAAGGGGATTCGATGATGAAAATGCGCAAGACTGACATGGCGAGGCCCTGCGGTCGATGGATATGATAGTGAGCTTTGACGTCTGGTAAAACGTGAGATTGAAGGTTTTGTATGAAGGTCGAGGGATGAAAGCGTGGTAGTTTCAATGACTCTCTATCCAGGTCGGGGGGACGCTGCTCGTCGTCCACGGTAGAGATGTCCTTAAGAGGCAAAATGCGATAGGCAGTCCATCTCTGCGAAGAAGGGTGATCCTGAAGGTACTGTGCGTCTGCCATGGCTAATTGATACAGAGTTAGGCCATGCTGCCAATCGCCCTCTGTCACCCGGTCGAGAACCTCCCTCTTGGAACCATTCCTGCATTGCCAATCTTTGTATATAGCGCGCAGTTCCTCGAGTGACGTGGCGGGCTGGTATAACCCGTCCTCATCAACATCGTCGCCTAAAAGCGGTACGCATAAAGAGACATTCTCATCGCTGATCCAATCCAAGGCCAGCGTGAGAAGAGAAGGGCGTGAAAGCCTGGTCAGAGCTTTCTGGACTGCGGCACTGGAGGTCGGAAGTCGAACATCTGAAGACAGGGACCGTTTGGTGGGAATCGAAAATCGAGCCATGACCCTCAAATGACTGTCAATTGAAGGGACGACGGTTCTGAGTCGATGCGAGAATTGAATGTTGTTGATGAGGCTGAACGACGCGCTCTAAACTGTTCATTTCATGGTCTATTGCTCGGGGACGCGTCGTGGATGCGAAACGCTGAAGGGACAAGGGTGCTAGGTATGGCTGGGCTGCTTACCCGCCCGTTCTACCTACCTACTACCTTATCTAAGGTACCTTAGGTACCTGGACGGGAACCTAAGGCACCTTCCCTACCGCTTAGGTTGTGAAGGTGCCTACCTTACCTACGTCACTACGTACTCAATCAAGTTCCAGGCAAGGTCAGAACACGCATAGGGAAGGACTTTGCCGCTCTGAGAGCTGTCTAGGATCTCACCTCACCTCGGACTTCGTTTTCACTACTAGGCACTCCATATCAACGTTCGCTTGGGGCTGGGGACGTTGAGGTGCTGCAGGCCGGCGGCGGGCACTGGGCCGGCGGGGTGCAATGCACCTACACTAACTGGTGGGACGACACAAGGGGACGTTGGTTGCAGTTTGCATAGCAATATTGAACATGGCGCACGCCCTGTCGTGTTCCGAGCGTCGGAGCTGCTTATAAATTCGGATTTTCAGGGCCCTTGGCTTCCTCCCCAAAAGACCTACGGGAAAGAACCAGATCGCCCAGCCAAGCCGCGAAAGGATGGTTGGGTACTAGGGTATAGTGTGTACAGTCCATCGAGTCATGCATTCCGGGATTTCATCTTCAGGGTCAGGCTCGTCTGTCGTTGACTAAGGAGGTTGGTTGGTTTGTTGGTCGGAGAGAGGTTTGGCGCTGAGGCGCTGGCATGTGCAACAGTAGGCAGCGCGGATGTGGCCTCTACCTTCAGGATATCGAGCCATTTTCAGCAGAGTAGCAGCCATCGAAGTGCTAGCCAGTGACGGCGCGAAAAACCGCACGCGCAAAACTCTCAAGTTTTGGAGGGCTTATTAATACTCCTCAATGATCCATCTGAACGACATTTTTGTTATTTAGCCGTACTGGGCGCAGGAACACCATGAAAACTGCCCGTAGTGTTGAACACTGTTTCGTGTGGCCCAAAGTCTCTCTCGTTTCCGTGCTGATGCAGCAGACCCGGAGAAATGGCTCAGAATGACGCCCTCCGCCTTACCTGCCGATCAGCAAACATTGCGAGCAGAAGACGTCAAGCGAAAGCATCCCAGGATCGAGGACTGTCAGGTCAGAGATGCGCAATTGCCGCGAGGGGGGATGGGTGAGCCAAAACCTCTCCCGGGCGATGATTCGTTATTTTGTGTTCATGACGGATGGCAGAATCCAAAGACACGTTATGGGAGTACGTACACATCACGGCCCTGCTATATGCACTTGGCCGCGTCGTCGCTGTCGTGCCGTGTAGAAGCTTAGCACATGTCGCCAAAAGCTGCCCTTTGCTATTAGCCTTGTCGTTGCCGGATATCGACCCATTCATCGGCGGGTGGGGGGCGTCATCGCGGTAAGAGTGAAGTATCTACGGTTCTGAAGTCTCCGCCGGCGTACCTATCCGTAGCGGTGTCGGCCGCGCCTCCCTCTGTACTTAGCCTGTAATGCGTTGGGTCTAGGTGCCTAAGGTAGGATAGGTACCTCACCTCTACCTTACCTAGGTACCTCAAGAGTAAGTGTCTTCCCTGCAGTGGCGCGCAGCTGCGTGGGGTGCTCTCAAGGACATGGACACACTGCCAGCCAATTACTTCAGCGAGCCAACAGTGCAGTGCTTGTTCCGGGCCCCCTCCCTGGATGCTGGGAAGGCGCGCTGTCGGGTAAAGAACTTGACTAATACAATCCACTCGGCCTGTGTCCGCAGCCGGGACCTCCACGAACAAAGGCTTCATTTTCTCATTTTCGACTTCTCCTCCCCCATTTCACCCACTTTCCTAAACTCCCCAGCATCGGATTCACCACCCGTCCAGCACTCGCAAAGCATTCGCTACTTGCCTCGCCCGATATCCCATTCATCGATTGACGAGGCGACAATTACCTCTGGCGTCGACGTCTCATCGCCACCGATACTTCTCGCAATTGTGGTAAAAGACCCGGAAATTTGGAACTCGAAGCCGGCTGGCCATTTCCCGCATTGGTTGGTCCGCGCATAGCACTTCGCACTTTAATTGCTTGGGGGTCCAGCATCCAAAAACAGCCCACTGCCCCTCCAAACGCCATCGCCGCCGTCCCTTACTTGAGGCCCCAAGTTCTCGCAACCACAAAACAACTCGACGTCCGCGCCCTAGGCCTGGCTTCGACCGAGTCACTTCGCTCCTCTGTCATCTTGCAGACCTGAACAACCACCCCGGATTCGCTTCGCCGCGAGCCGCGCCGGCCTTCGACATGTCGCCTTACAGCAGTGGTGGGCGTGCCCCCAACGTCTCGCATTTCTTGCGAGATCTCAACACCGTAAAGGAGTCCAGCCACGAGGATAACTTCACTTTCGAAGAGGACCTGGCCGTCTTCACCAACTCCTCTTTTTTCGACTTTGAGACCGGCCAGCAAACCGATTATCAGGCACAGCCCGCGAAGCCAGAGACGGAGACACAGGCCCCGTCCAGCGCCGCCGCCGAGGATTTGACTTCTCCTCTCGGCGAGTTTGGCAATGTCGATTTTTCTTTGCCAGGTGAGCCGGTGTTTTCTTCGTTCTGGCGTGGGATTTTCCCGTTGTCCCTTTTTGAAGCCGCCGCTCCTGCACATCGCCAGTCCCTGCATTTAATCACACAAAACTCGCTCTTACTCACCAGGTTGATGCCTTGGAGTCATGTCAAGCGACTATGGCACAAAGGGGCTTTTCTGTACTTCTGATGGATATGTCAATGCTGCTCTACACGCTCTCTGGGTTGCGGCAAAAACTGGGCCGAGTGGCTACAATTCTTCGACTATCTCATGGCTTGCTTCCATTCACTTTCTGTGCAGACGACCACTAGGGGACAGAGTGGTGATCTAGATTTACATGAGTCAAGCGGCTTATGTGTGTGAACTCTAACTGTCGAGGTTGAGGAGAAAACCGATTCGATTTATCTTCAGGGTCGCAGCGAAGCACATTAGAATGCCTTATCTCAAGGCTTCAAACCTATTGTTTCTACCCCACCCGGTTCATGCGCGGTCCATGTTTCAACGAGACGTCTTGATTGGGAGTTTTAGCAGCTCCTTATGCAGCTTGCCGGCCTGCGGTGTTGAGAGAGAGCCGCGACTCCAGATGACAAATTGTCTGGGGAATGGTGCAATACCCCGTGACTTGCCGTCATCGACCCTAGCAGGGGGGTATCGACCATCTGGGCAGCCGCCATCACAGACGGATAGAGCAAGTGCTCGCAGGTGAAGGCCCTGTTATACCAGCATTAAGACTCGCGGATGCAATTGCTCCTGCGAAGACCTCTGCCCGTCCGTCTTCCCCCTCATCCCGCTGTCTCGCCGACGCCACGATGCTAGGAACCGATAACCTGCCTTGAACACCCATCTGACCATGAACAATGACAGGCGACTTCAGCTTCACCGATTTTACCAACCACTACCCTGCTTCGGGTGTCCCTCCCTTTGCCGAAGGTCTGGGTAATCTTCAACCTCTTCAGCCCAATCCGCAAACCACCTATGCTCCGCCTCCGGTTTCTCAGCAGCCGCAAAACCATCACTATGGCGCGCCCGCTCCGCGTCCAGCCGAGAACAGTACCCCTGAGTCTTTGACCAGTGGCAGACCTGGCCAAAGCTTTGAAGAGCAGTCCCGTCTCGCCGCCGAGGAGGACAAGCGCAGGAGAAACACAGCCGCTAGCGCCCGTTTCCGTATCAAGAAGAAGCAGCGCGAGCAGGCTCTCGAAAAGAGCGCGAAGGAAATGTCTGACAAGGTTTCTCAGCTAGAGGCACGCATCAATTTGCTCGAAACCGAAAACCGCTGGCTCAAGAACCTTGTCATGGAGAAGAACGAGGGCAATGAGGATGTTGCATCCATGTTGAAGGACTTCCAGAATAAATCCAAGACGGCCACAAAGTCCACGACAACCTTGGACGCGCCGAAGGAGGAAAAATAGCCAGCAGACCTTTTCACCACTTACGGGCTGATTCTATGATGGTCGCTTGCGGGCATTACGCTTCATGCTGACGATCTTGATATTTTTCCCAGCACCAGATGGCGTGCGATCAAAGGAACATTATGAGACTATCGAGGGATAGGTGATGGCTGTGGGAAGTAGAGGGCGGGCTTGGATGGGCGTGTTATGTTTCAATTCGGCTCTAATGGGGAACATGTGACGAAATCTATATACACCGACACGGACTCATGATCAGGACTCGTGGTAGAGTATCTCACCAATGAATTATATGAGACTGTTGATGGCTATTCGCTATGACAAACCCGGTTCGAAGAATGTATTGGTGACTGGGAGTATAAGCAGCGACTGGTTCATACATGACCTTCGTTGAGTTCGACCGGGAATCAGAGTGCTTGCAAGCATGTCCCCGGTCTCCCTACTCATTAGATTTCTACTTTTCTTCCACGCCATCCCCGCTTCTTTAAATCACCGCGAGCTTCCCCATCTGCCAACAAAGCCGACCTGATACTCATGAAGGCCAAGGGAAAAAAAATTGTATGTATTTCTGATACATGGCCTAAAGGATCTGGCACCTCTGCTGACAATTCCACCACCAGAAATGCTTCCGCGTCGGAAGTTCACTGGCAGGTAGGCCGGCCAGGACACACCTGAGGTGGCCACAGACGCGATAAAGTAGGGATGGAGACGGTGGTTGCGACGAAAGCTCCAGCGGGACGGAAGGCAAAATTGGCGACACGAACATGATCAATATTTAGTGAAACCGTAGACCCTCAATTCTCATCGTCTTTCGCTGCTGCTCTCGGTCTTTCCTTCCTGTCGCTGTCGACGCTGTCGACGCTGTCCCTAAGACTGGCCAGGCGAGTCTGATTCCGCCGGCCAATGATACTCATCGTGCTTTCCCTCTCGATCTTAGTCATCTCACCCCAGTTCTTTATTCGCGACATCGTACCGTCCTGGTGAACCACGAGGGGGCCCAGGTGATCCAGCTTGGTCGATGCGCCGCCTCCTACTTGACCCCCCAAGTCAAGGGTGATGTACTCAGCGTTAGACCGCGCCTCGGGAAGCGGCGGCAAAGCCAGATGACTATGGGAATGAGGCTGGCTAGAACCGGAAGAGTTGTTGGTGCTAGAGCTTTCTGCCTGAGGGTTGGATGTCGTGTTTTCAGGGGCCGGTGACGTGCTTTCCGTGGGGTGGTGTTGGCAGTGGTCCTCGCCCGGGAGAATTTGCTGTTGTTGGTTGACGCTGGCTCTCGTCACCTCCGCCTCCACGCGGTCGGCTTCTTGCGAGGCTGGTTTCAACTTGGACTGAGATATCGATGATGTGATCATTTTTCTAATAGGTCTAGTGGTGGTGGCGGCGTAGACAGTGATCAGGGCGGGTGATGGTCTGGAGGCTGGGCGTGTCTGGTTTCTCAGTGGCGCGTACCCACGGGGAATGATTCTGTGAAACGGTCTCATCCGGGCGTTTGGCTGTCAGATTTTGAAGGAGTTGAGCGTGGACAAGTCAGGCCTTGAGAAACCGAATGTCCTGTGTAGTTGTGGTGAACGACTGCTGCGAGGGTAAGTATGTCTGTCGTTCGTCGAACAAAGGTAAGGCGTCTTTGAAGTGGGTCGGGTCACTCACTTCTGGCAGTTTCCATGCCCCATGCTTATCGTGTCAGTTTCTAGTCTTTTGAACATCATGTACATGTATTCTCCCCCTCCTCCCTCGGCACGCATATTGCTGGTCAAGGTTCTCCAGGCCTGCGACTTTTCCTTATTTATTTCCTTGTCTTTTTGAAGAAAATTAAACTTCCTTTTTTCATTTAATTCTGGTTTTCTGATTCTTGCAGGCGCATATTGATGATGGCTGGTTCACATGACCGAACGCGACATGAGGTACGTGGGTATGACTGACTTCTATTTCTAAATATCAAACAGAGAGGACCTCCTGTTTGGGTATCAATTGGTTTGTACCGTCCTGTCTATAACAAAACGGACTCTTTCTTCTATCCACCGTACCTAACGCCGTTGATGCCAAGGGTGCTAAAAAGAGGCAACAGAAAAGAGAAGAACAAACAACCTTATCTGTCTCAGCGATGGACCTCTCCACTAGTCCTCCGACGATCAAGTCGTCTCACTACCGCACCTAAAACCACCTTCAGGATGCTGTCTGCCGTCAGAACACCCCTGGTACCATTCTCCCAAGTGACAGTGTCGACCATGTCGCGAAGATCGCCGTCAACTCTGTCAACAAGGTCGTCATCAAGCTCGCGCAAGGCCTCCCGGGCGCCGGGCTCGTTGCCAACTTGGAAGAACTGTATGCCGATCTGGTGAAGAGGGGCATCAAGTTTGTCGAGCTTTTTGGCGGCAGTGATGATAGTAGACTCGACATCGTCGGAGGGAGCGCCATCAGTGATGACGATGATGTTGATAGGCTTCACGCTCTCAACGTCGTGCTTCTTGGAGTCCAACAGTTGCAGATATGGCTTGAGAATGCTGTGAAGACGCTGGCCGGTAGGGGTAGCGCCACGAGGACGGACTGATGTGAAGATGCCCTCGACCGTGTCGGCACGCTTGATACCGTAGTATCCACCAGCGGCTTTGCCTTCCCTGGCACTACCACTGGCAGTCGTCTTGTGGTTTAGGAAGTAGAGGTCAATGCCATCAGCATCGTGAGCGGTGCAGACGGGGGTGACGGCGCGGAGAACACCCTGAACCTCGGGCCAAGATCGGCCAGACATAGAGCCGGAATCGTCAACAACGAAGATGGTATCGAAGGAGGACAGGAAGGCATAGGGGTCTTCGGGGGTCGAAACACTCATGCCAGAGACAGAGCTGATGGAGCCAGCATTGGAGGGGGCAGGCGAGGGGCTTCTAACCGGACCGTCGTTGGGCCCCAGGAAGCTGGTGGCTGGTAGAGCCGGAGCAGAAACCGAATAGGCAGGGGGCGGCTGATCGACAGATGCGCCTGTTCATTGGTCAACGGGTGCTTGAGAAATCTCAGGCGTTTTGTGAGCGAGGATCATGACTTACCATTTCCCGGTTGAGCCTGGGTAAAGGGGTTATGACTCTTCGGCATGGTTATGGGAGGTGCGGAGGATTTGGTCTTTGGCGAAGAGGACGACGAATTGCGGGTGAGTTTATCCTTCACACAACCAAAGATGGATTTGCGCATTTTGCTTTGGCGCTCGTCGCAAGAAATCGACGTAGGGGAGTAGAGGTCTGCAGTGAAGTGAGGCATTGTGAAGGTGCTGGAGGTCTGGCCGTTGGATTGATATAAGAAGGTAGGTGGGGCCGTTGGTCGGTGTCGTCGGTCTCGAAAGGTAGGGTCCTCAAGGAACTCACAAAGCAAAAACAGAGTTCGAGTTTTGCTTTTCAGGTCTCCTTGCTCGTCACTCAAGGTTGTAAAAGAAGATTACTACTAGTATGGCTCAGACTGCTTCGACTCTTAGTTGGTTCCTTATGGGGTTGGCGTTTGAGATGACAGACAATGTTCTGTGTTAATGCTGAACTCAATCATTCATCTTATACCACCGTCTTTCAACTTGAAAGCCCAGCCAGTATGCCTTGATGGCGCTGAGTTTAAGAAGTTGAAATATTTGTCAATGCGTTGGTTGTTCCTCCAAGAGGGACCTATGCTGAATATGGTTGTGGTTCAGTCATTCAAAATGTACCCAAGGTACCTACCTAGTGTCCGATCATGGTGGCGGTGCTGTGGTCATCTGGGAGGCGGCTGCGTTCGTGCGATCCTATTGGTGGATGCATTCAGTGGCTGCGCCCCAGGCTGAGCGCCCGCGCCTCAGATGTAGTAGATTTTGCTCAATCCGCCTGTCGCGCCTTGTGGCTTCGTTCCTATCGTTCATGCCGATAGCACCGATGGCACCACGTGACCGGAACCTTTTCTGGGGGGCCAGTGCCTCCGAAACGCGGTAAGAGGGAAAGGGCTGACTCAATAACCAAATCCCCTGACCCACGACGAAAATCGAAGCGCCCTAAAAGACCAGGGCGCGGTCGGTAGGGTTTTGGACCTTTTGCGGTGCTGCACCTGGCCGAAGACGACGGCAGATGTCCTGAATCCCTCTCATGGTGTTATTGCGCAGCAGAACTCTCAAGGGCGTTTGGATCCACACACTGTCATCAACAAGAAGTAAAAAGCTGTGCAACTTCTTTAGGTCTGTCGCACTCTATCTCAGCGTAGTACAGGAATGCCAACTTTTCCCGGTCCGGTTGGGCACGGCAGCACGGATAGGTAATGACTGGACGTACAGATTGGCGATGCAGAGATCCGCTTCTGACCATGGATAGTGGACACCGCTATTTCCCTTCGTGCAATCAGTTGAATCAAAGGCCGAATGAAAATACTGAAAAGAAAGCTTCAGTGCTGTTCCGTTCTGCTCCAGCTTTGCCCAGCCTCGACCAACGTTCGGAACGCAACTTGTTGGCTATCGAGACAGCAGGATCGGCGCGGGGACTATGCTCTCCTGGTCTCCAGCCTTCTTCGATTGCTCAGGCTTGTTTAAAACCCCCTTTCTGATCTCTGCTCGAAGAACATCTGGCCCTTATTGCAACTTCGTCAAGTGACAGTCCCGCTGCCATCTTCAGCGTGGGAAACACTGGCAACGCCAGCAATTAGCCTATCATCTTCCCTCCACGCCCAACGAAATCCACAATTGGAAGAGCCTGCATGAAAGCTGCATTCCTGACCTACAGGGATCCCTCAGCCAACTTCAAGGCCCAAGTGCCGGTGAAGAGAAGAACCTAAGCCGTTCGTAGCTTGCCCGTATAAGATTGTTTGTGTGCCCCTCGCTGCTTCACCTTGACCATGGTGGGCAGCTGACCTTCTATCCGGATCTTGCTCTTTTTTCTCCCGTCCCCTTCTGCCCGACCTACCAGGCCTGCGAATCGCACAACGTCGATTTCCCCGGGAAAACAGACGGGGCGGCAACCAACTGCAACCTGACTGGAGTCCCAGCTAGGCACTTGCCTTTTCCCCCTCCTTCAAGCAGCAAATTGCCCACAACCTCACCCTCTCGACGTCAACAACCAAAATAACGACAAACTGCGTTGTCTACCGCCATCATGTTCAACCGCAAATTCTCCATCAATCGGCACACCGGTGTGCCTAAGCCCAGGCGCTTCAGTGTCGGCGAGAGTAGCGCCAATGGTAAGCAAGCTTTCATTGATCCGTCTCCCTCCCGGATTCCCGGATCGCGGCTAGAGCTGCGTGTTCTTCGCCTTTTGATGCTGCCGCACTTATCGGAACGAGATCAAGCTGCCAGCAAGAGGAAGACAGTAGGGGAAAAGCTTGTCCTCCAGCTCTGGTGCTGGTGCGGGGTACGAGCTGAACTGGTGCCCTCAGCTCCAAATTCTTGTCCCCAGCAAAGCTGCCCCTCGTTCCCCACATTGCTCCAACTCGAGCTCAGTGACATTTGTAGCATCTCAAGGGGCGGCGGTTACAGGAGGAACCTTTTGTATTCTGATCTCAAGCTAATTTCAGCGACCTCTCAGAGGTTCAATCCAAGACTCATAGACAATTTCGCAATGCTCACGAAGGCCACCAAGCCCACGCTGGTCTCGACGCCTCCCGCTCCTCTACCGGTGTTGTCTGGTGTACTGAGCGCGCTGCCGAGTACGGTTTCCTCGAGGACCCCGACTCATGGGCCAATCTGGGCCAGGGCGCTCCCGAAGTCGAGGACGATATCGCCGGCTGCTTTCCTCGTCCTACAACTATCGACATCTCCATGGCCGGTCGTGAGTATGGTCCCACAGCCGGCATCAAGCCTCTTCGCGAGGCTGTCGCCAACCTGTACAACGTCATGCATCGCCAGGGCAAGCAGAGCCAGTACACCTGGGAGAACGTCGCCATCGTCCCTGGAGGCCGTGCCGGCCTGATCCGCATTGCCGCCATTCTCGGAAACTCCTACTTGTCTTTTTTCTTGCCTGACTACACGGCGTACAACGAGATGCTCTCCCTATTCAAGAACGTGCGTCCCCCGCTCTACACGGATAACAATCGTATGATCTAACGGTTCTCCTAGTTCTCTGCCATTCCTGTTCCTCTTGCGGAGGAGGACGGCTATCACATCCATCCTGATCGTATCTCTGAAGAGATTTCCCGCGGCTCCTCCGTCATTCTGACCTCGAATCCCCGCAACCCCACTGGTCGCGTCGTTGCGAACCCCGAGCTGGCTGAGATCCAAGATATCTGCCGTGGTCGTGCCACCTTCATCAGTGATGAATTCTATTCCGGGTACAACTATACTAGCAACTGCGACGGCAGCACGATCTCCGCGGCGGAGAACGTAGAGGACGTCGATGAGGATGATGTCCTTATTATTGATGGTTTGACCAAGCGCTTCAGACTTCCAGGCTGGCGTATTGCTTGGATTCTTGGTCCCAAGGGTATGCCATCACAATTAAACGATTGAAACGACACATGCTAACGGAAGTTACCCCACAGAGTATATCAAAGCGTAAGACCAAAAGTTCCTAGATCCAACAGGACATGCTTACTTACATATGCCTCTAGTATCGGGTCCTGTGGGAGTTACCTTGATGGTGGCGCGAACCACCCTTTCCAAGAGGCTGCCATTCCCATGCTTGACCCGACGCTCGTGAAGGAGGAAATGGTCTTCCTTCAGAAGCATTTCCGCGTATGTATGGTGATCTGACTGTACCAAACATGTACTGATGGAATGAGCAGGACAAGCGTGACTACGTTGTTCGCAGACTGCGCGAGATGGGGTTCGTCATCAAATATGTGCCCGATTCCACTTTCTATCTGTAAGTCCACGCTCCTCCTACCACCAAAGACAGAGCAAGCTGGGAACTGACATGCCTAGTTGGCTAAATTTGGAGGGCCTCCCTGACGCCATCTCGGACGGCCTCAACTTTTTCCAGGCTTGCTTGGAGGAGAAGGTCATCGTCGTCCCTGGCATCTTCTTTGACCTGAACCCTTCCAGACGCCGTGACCTTTTTGACAGCCCCTGCCACCATTTTGTCCGTTTCTCGTATGGCCCGAAGATGGAGACCCTCAAGAACGGTCTCGACGGCATCGAGCGCGTGGTTAACAAGTAAGTATTGATAATGCCGGTCGGCGACCCAAATTCAATTAACTAACGTTCATTCAGGTTCAAGAAGTCTAGCGGCTAGACTGGAAGGTGCTATGGAAGAATGGTTCGTATGGATAACACGACGCGACGATCACGCCGCGACTCTGCTTGGGAGTTGCAAGAGGGAACGGCAGAAGCATGCGCGCACTTAGGGCTACTTGGCGATAGATTCATAAATCATTGACCACCGACTTGTCTGCTCCCTGATGCTTGTCAACTTCGGAACCCTCTGTCATCTTCCTATTTCCTCCCAACTTATCTCCACAAAGTCATCGTGCTGTCTGCTGTCCTAGGCTGCGCATGCACTGTGAACACGAATTATCTCCCCCATGAGCAATGCACAGCCGAGATTATAGTCCGTCCCCGCCCTAAGCATCTGCCCAGCCCAGGCCGTTGGCGCAAACAACCGGAGGATAGATAGTTGCACCACGTGCGATTCGAAGATGTTGTTTTTCAAGCTGCAAGTCACCAACAGAATTGGACCGCAGGCGCTTACCTACTTCAATCCGTCAAAGCCTCCGAAAATTCCATTTTGATTACTTTTGCAGCCACGTTGCCTCTCTATCGATTCCAGATGAAAAAATACAATTATCAGCCGAAGGCTTTTGTAAGCAAACCCAGAAGAACGCGAAACAACATAGACCAAACACCTTCGCATGTCGACTACTCCGCATGAGACGACATGTGATGCGTCGGCAGAGCAGTAAGGACATCGAATGCACCCGTTCCAATCCTGCCCAAACGGCCCATCACGATGCGACTGCTTGGCGTCCTGAGGTCATCCCAATCACCGTCGAGCACAGCATCCTTCAGGAATGAAAGAGTTGTTTCGAAACTCATTTTGGTGAATGGGCTAATGTTGCCGCGCAGGCCGTTGCGGTTGAAGGGTGTGAAGTCACCGTTGCGGGTCATATAGTCGGCAATGAGGTTCAAATGGCGGTTGTCGACGCTAATTCCGTGACCTCCGAAAACGCCGGCCAGTTCCGAGACAATATTGGTCCGGCACGCCTCGACACCATACACGTCCAGGACGGCAGCAATATCGTTCGTTGCGATCTTGTTCGGGTTGATGAAGTCGCCGTACTTGTGCATCGCCCTGAGGTTGGCCCCAGAGGTGTAAATGGCTGGCACTGAAATATCCTTGCCTGTGATGGGGTCCGTCGTCTTGTGGTCCGCAGTGAAGGTACACGAGCCGACACCAGGTATTTGCTGGACAACTGACTTCTTGACTGCCGCTTGCACGATATTGAGCATCAACACCTTGGGGGTATCTGCCTCAAATTCGAGCGTGAACTCGCACCATTCTCCGGCCTCGTCGCTGCTGAAACGCGTAACACGAAGGTACCGTTCTTTCACACGCTCAGCTCTCCAGGCGCCCTCGCTTTCCGACTCATCGTCTCCTGCCTCCTCCTCCTCCTCGTCTGAAGCCTCCTGCCGAGTCTCGGGGACTGGGCTGCCGCCAAAGCCTTCGTCTTCTTCCACTGACTCCTCGCGCTCCATCTGTCGCTGTATGGCGTCATCTTCGTCATCATTGGGTCCGTAGGATACGGCTTCTTCTCGATTTGCCTTGTTCTTAGCGTTTGTCGCATCGCCATCACCGTCATCGTCGTCATCGTCGTTGTCGTCCCCGCCACCTCTTGTCTCTCCGTTGCCTGTCGCCATCTCGACAACGCCGGCCTTGGCACCGATATCAGGCGTGGCTGAGCTGGACTCACTTCGCCGTTTCTTGATCTCCTTGGTCATTATCTTCAAAAGATGATCCAAGAACCTCTTTTCCACGGTATCCATGACATCAGAGGCATCGATCGCGTAGGTCTTGGTGTATTCCTCCGAGGGGAAAAAGTTCAGTCGGACATCGTAAAGTTTAGCCAGCGCACTATTTTGCCCCTTTCCAATGCGTTCATTGACGCTTGCGGTGTCAAGCACATCGGCCAGAGGCAACACACTGATGGACTTTGCAAAGATTTCTCCCTCAGTTGCGGAGAGCTCCTCGTGAAGAAGGAGAGTCATCGACGGCGTGGAGATAGACCGACTCGCAGTCATGAGAATCTCGCGAAGACGGGGAATACCAAGCGTGACGTTCTTCGCTGAATGACCGGCCAAATGGAATGTGTTCAGCGTCATCTGTGTAGAAGGCTCACCGACACTCTGGCCAGCTACGATACCGACACCTTCTCCAGCCTCGACGAGTGAACGCATGTATTTAGCGGCGAGTACGAGCTCAGCTGACTTTCTGTTCACGGCAGGAGCGTTGATAAGACCAGAGACATCCTTAGACTTGTCGCGGATCAGGCCATCCTCATTGTTCTTGATATACTTGGACATCTTCTCGTAGAACTTCTCAGACGTGGCGAAAGCCACCCTGGCCGGGTTGACGAGAGAAATGATTGGGTCTTTGGCGGCGATGTCGACCTTGGCGTGCTTGATGGCGCTCTTCATGTGTTTCAAAACGTCGTCCTTGTTGCCGGCAAACCTGTCCTTGAACTCGCTTCCGAAATTCAACTGAGCCGTTTCGGAACCGATGTTGCGGAGAACGAAGCCAAAGTCGGTGAGATACTTCTGCTTGGTAGGATCCAGCCCGTCTTCGCCATACAAAAATTGCACCAATGTGCCGTCGGCGTCGCGAACAGTAGAGTCGTACGAAACCGTCAGTCCTTCCATGCCCTTGATGATACACCTCTGCAGGTAACCAGAACGAGATGTCTTAACAGCGGTGTCGATAAGGCCTTCACGGCCTGCCATGTGATGGAAGTAATACTCTTGCGGCCGGATACCCGTCAAGAAACGCTGGACAATGTAGCCACCAGCGCGAACATCTGTCTCGAACGGCCGGAAGCAAGGCAAAGACTTTCCACTGACCATGAGAGGAACTCTTCGACCCTCAAGGACTTGTTGTCCCAAATTGCACGAAATGAGGTTAGCATTGACTTGGCCACCCTTGGCGCCAGATGTTGTCATAGACTGCATCTGGTTCTTCGGGAATTGCTTGACCAAACCGACCGGCAGACAAGCAGCTGTCACCATGCTAGAAACCTTTGCAGAGCTCTGGTTCATGAGCATATCGAGACCTTCCTGCTTGCTGTCGTCGCGCATAACCTCTTCTAGGCGAGTGAGAAGTTCTGGGTCATCGCTGCCGGGCTTATTGTCCTCCAGAGACACGTACCTGGCCGCAACCTCAAGACCGATACCCTTAGCAGCCTTGAGAGTTTCTTTTCGAGATACCTCGCCTTGAGGTGTGAGCCTCAGATCATCCATACCGCAAGTAAATGCCCGCATGTTCAGGTATCTCGTAAGAAGTCGGCCAATGCCACTCAGCAACTTGCCGGCAACCGCAGGACCGTAGATTTCATGAATAGCATGAATCAGGCCGCCTGAACTGGGACCGAGCTGGGCCTTGTCGAGGATGCCGGAAAGGAACTGACCATCCTGGAAAAGTACAGTACCCTCCTCCGAGCCTTTACCCCACTGCTCGCCCTTAACCTGGCTTTTGCCGGTCATCCACAGTCCCTCGCCATTTGGCGGCTTAATGTTCTTCAGGATGGTGGTTACAACCTGCTTGCCAGTCCACCTGGGAATCGGCTTGATGATGGCGGGTGGGATAAGCTCAATCCTCTCACCGAGAATGTGGCCACTCTCCGGGCGCAACGCTGAGTAAATAAGCTGTTGATACGAGTCGCGATCAAAGAAAGTATCCTTGTTGCAGAGCGCCACGGATACCGAAAGATGGTCCTGAATTAATCCGCGAAGGGGCTTGCCTGCAGTTCCAGAGAGATACTGATGGTCCGTGTCGGCGATCTGAAGAGCCTCGGCTCTAGCCACCTCATTCTGGGGAAAGTGCATATTCATTTCATCTCCGTCGAAGTCGGCGTTGTACGTATTGCAGTTGGCGTAATGCATTCGAATTGTCTTCTCACCAGGCAGCACCCGCACCCTGTGGCCCATGATGGAGGGCTTATGCAGGGTTGGTTGGCGGTTCATCAAGACCACATCACCGTTTGTCAAGTGGCGATAAACCTTCTTGCTTTTCACGCCACTCATCTGGTTGTTGGTAGGGGCGAGAAGCTGGTTGGCGAGCGATACACGGTCATCAGTCGACTTGGACCGCAAGTTGACAATCTGGCCATTCTCGTACTCGATTGCCGCAGCGCCTGGCCACTTATCGACACCATTGATGACTGCTTGCTGCATATCTCTGAAATTGTGGCTTGTGACTGGCTCGGGGTAAGTCAGCTTCCGTGCAAAAACAGGAGGCACGCCGATTTCGTTTGTTTCGATGTTCGGATCCGGAGAGATAACACTTCGCGCAGCGAAGTTGACTCGCTTTCCCATCATGTTCTTTCTGAACAGACCTTCCTTCTTCTCCAGCTTTTGTTTGATCCCGTCTTCATTTCTCTTGGCCGCTGCGCCCTGCACAGGGTTTTTGCTCTTGTCGATTAGGGAATTGACAGACTCTTGTAATTCTGTCCATATCTGGTGCAGGTCGCTGATGTCTCTCGCTCTTCCATACTGATCCGTACCTCCGACGTTCTGGTGTATTCTAGCAATACTGACACAGTTCCGCAGAATGTTCTTGTACAGAGAGTTTTGCTGAGCCTCAGAGATCGAGTCGCCGGTACGAGCTTCAGGTCGGAACTTGTTTGGGGGAACAAGGATTGTGCGGAGAAAGAACATATCAGCCGTGATCTTAGCGGCCTTCTTCGTCACTGGCTTTGAGTTGTAGATCAGAGACATAATTTCCTGCTCTTTTTCGAATAGCTCTCGCAGACGAGCACGAACTTCCATGGCGCTGATGTATCGCTGCTGTCCCGGGGAGACATTGTTGGCGTCTTCCTCTCCTTTGTCCATAGGTGGATGCTCGTCACTGCTGCTGGCATCGCGCATCTCAACGTCGTTCTCCGAGGCCTGGTCAACATCAGCAACGCCTTCGTCGGCGTGATCAGAGCCTCGCGTCGTCTTAGGCTTCGATGTCATGGCAGCAGTTGCCATCGAGTCCTTCATGTGCAGGTTCCTTTGAGCCATGTGTGCAAGGTCTCTCTCGCTGAGGGCCTTTTCAAAGATTTTGACGAAACGGTCCTTTCGATAGGCCGGGGAAATGCCACCGCAGTTGTCGCACTTTCTGGGCTTGGTTATTTGCACCATAAACTCCTTGATGAGCTCCCTTCGCATTTCAATAGACCCTTCGTGCTTGCCCTTCCTCGCCTCTCCCAGGCTTAGCTTGTGAGCCTTCAAACTTTGGCGAACGAAGGCCTCGCGTGCGCCAATGACGTTGTCGACAGTAGAAGTGCCTTCTTCCTCGGCCTCACTGTCGTAATCGGTGGGGACGCCGGGCATCGCAAGGCCCTTGAGCTCCTCACCAATGGCATCAACAAGATGAGCCTCATGCAGCAAGCCATGTTGGAGAAGTCGAAGTTTGCACGAGAAGCGGTTGATTTCGCGGTGGCGCATGCGAAAACCTTTGCAATAAGCGCATTGCGACCTCAAGAGCCGAAGGACTTGATCGAGGAAGATCGGATGGTATACAGGAACAGGGAGCTCGATATGGCCGGCGTGGCCAGGACAGGAAGACTGGTTGAGATTGCAGGTCGCGCAACTTTGGCAGGGTTTTTGTTAGTCAATTGAAGCGAGGAGAGCCGATTGCAGTGACAAACATACAGAGCATCGCCCCAGGAGCCGAGCGCGGGGTCGTATAGACCACCGGGAACAGGATTGAGAAGATTATCGAAAGTGCTGTCGTTCTCAATACGTTTGACGGAAACGGCTCTGATTTCCTCCTCGGTAAGAAAAGTGAACTCGACCGTCTCCACGGACGACGAGATAGGTTGTGAGATATTCATGCTGCCAATGAGGCTTCAGGAACTAGCCTGACACCGATCTGAGTCTATACAGAGGGTGAGGCGGAGGGAAACAAATTTTCCATTCAGTGTCTTGTTGGTCGGGTTGGTACAGGCAGCTCGGTCGCAAAATCAACTAGACCGGTGGGTGATCAAGTGTCGGCGGAAGGCAGGCAGAGGGGAACTTTTTTTGGCGGTGGTTCGCGGCAGAAAAAAAGACCCGCCAATAGTGGAGCTGTCGAGAGGTGTCGAGGCAACATCGAAATAAGGTAAGGTAGTGAGAAGACGCCTACGAAATCCTCGGCAATCACCCTTATGTAAGAACTGTTTACACCAGCCTGCAGGCCTGCGACGCCATACACGAGGCATCACATGCATATGCATTACTCCTTGCCTATCAAAGCACGCTCGTTACTTTGATTTCGTCCGTCCAGCCGATTCAGAAATCACAGCCGACGACTGTACCACTCGCTCGCCGACCCCCGTTGCCTTCTCGAAGGGGAAGCCCGCACTTCTAGACTAGGTTCCCAACGCGCAACAACAAATATCTCCGCCACATCGAATTACGATGGATCGACGTTCCGACTCAAGCGGCCTAGGGCCTCGTCACGATCCAAACTCTCGAGTGCACAAGCCCGAAACCGCTGCCGACAAAATGGCTGCGTTGAAAGCAAGGGTGGCAGCGGCGATTGGGGGCAGCAAAGCCAAAGGCGTCCCTGAGGCTGGACTGCATCCTGCCCTTCAAGGTCTTGGGCAGGTTCAGTCTTCGGGCCGTGGAAGTGATAGAGCTCCTCCATATCGATCTCAGGTTGACTCCAGCTCATCGTCTTTGGCTGGCGCTAGGTCGTCGATCCCTTCAGCGCGTAGTCAAGACAATACAAGACCAAACCCCTACTTCAACGACCAACAGGCGGGTCCACCCACAGGAAGCCGGCAGCGACAGTCTCGCCCCCTTAACTTCCATCCGAGGGGCAGATTCATCCAGCAGGGCAATGCGATGCGACGACAGGCTGCGCTGGAGGAACTGAAGAAGAAGATCGCCGCGCAGACCAGGAAGGCTGGCATCGACGAGGAATTAGATCTGGAGAAGAACCTTGTGGTTGAAGCACCTCCGGACATCGAATGGTTTGATGAAGGGCTCGTCGATGGCGGTAATTATGACAACATCGACGATGAGATTCACCTCAAGATCACATCGGAGGACACAATCGTCACCGAGTACATTCAGCATCCCGTTGCATTAGAGCCACCGCAAGAGCGAAACAAACCTGCACCGAAACCCATGTTTCTTACGTCGAAGGAGAAAGCCAAAGTACGGAGGCAGGGGAGAATGGCCGAACTGAAGGAGCAACAAGCAAAGATCCGGCTTGGCCTTGTGCCAGCACCGCCGCCCAAGGTTAAGAAGAGCAACATGATGCGAGTCTATGCAGACTCGGCAGTCAAGGACCCTACGGCGGTTGAGAATCTAGTTAATCGCCAGATTGCGGAACGGCAACAGAAGCACCTAGAGGCCAATGAGGAACGGAAGCTCACCAAGGAGGAAAAACACGATAAGCTTGCCGCCAACCAGGAGAAGGATGCTGCCAAAGGCATCCACGTTCTGGTGTTCAAGATCAACAGCCTTGCGAATGGACAGCACAGATTCAAGATTGGGAAGAACGCTGAGCAACACTCTCTCACTGGCGTCTGCATCATGCACCCAAAGATGAATCTGGTTATTGTAGAGGGGGGGGAGCATAGTATCGGAAAGTACAAGAAACTGATGCTTCATCGTATCGACTGGACAGAGAACTCGCCATCGCGCCAGGGCGCCACACGGCAACAGGCGCGAGACTGGTTACTTCCGGAGAATGAGAATGGGGACTTGAGAGACATGTCGCAAAACGAATGCAAGCTTGTCTTTGAAGGAGAAGAAAAGACACGGGCATTTCGCAAATGGGGAAGTAAGGTGTGCGAATCTGATGCCGAGGCCAAAGAAATTTTAACCAGATCGAAGATGGACAACTTTTGGGCCCTGGCGAGGACCATGTAGAAGTAGAACGGAAGAGGGGCATTAGGTCTCAATGCAGTCAAGTCGAGGGCTTAGCCCAAGCCTTTCTCAACGTTGTAGCGGCAGAAATATGTTCATCGGACGAACACGAGTTACTATCGCATTTCAGTTACCCCCTGGTGAAGCTACGTTATCAGGGTGCAGACAAGTTGCAAGTCTCGTCAGACGGGTAAGGATCCGCGTCGGCAGAGAACTTTGCTGACGATCGGGCACTGGCTCTGCATCAGGTAGGTCAGTATCGTTCAGTCGAAGAGGACATAATCATGCTCTACACGCAAGAACACGAAAATGAGTCACAGTAGTGCGGTAAGGTGCGGGTCCCTCTGTAAAGACGTGACAGCGACCCCACCGACTGGGGAAGCGATCGCGGCACTCCCATTGTTTATCCCATGCGCGACGCGTAGCGGGGCGAGTTTTGGCCCGCAATCAGAAACATCATCATAACGAACATATCACACTGTGCACAGGACAGGACAAAAGATATAGATCATGAAGTGTTTGGCATTCCTTGCAGCCATCCTTTGCTGCTGTTTAATTGTACAACCCTTGCGTTGTTATCAAACGCATTCGTAACGCCAGATTACCCCCAAAAACCAAAGACGGTCCCTTCGTCAAGCATTCCCAAAGCGCGAGTCATGAACCACCCATAAGAGAAAATCGAAAGACAATGTTTAGTTACGCTCACCGCGGAGGCGGCGGGCGAGCTGGATGTCCTTGGACTGGATGGTGACGCGCTTGGCGTGAATGGCGCAGAGGTTGGTGTCCTCAAAGAGAGAGACGAGGTAAGACTCGACGGACTCCTGAAGGGCACCGATGGCGGAAGACTGGAAGCGGAGATCGGACTTGAAGTCCTGGGCAATCTCACGAACCTGGGAAGGTGTTGGTTAGTTACCTTCATAGAGTGTGAAGCGAGCACATGGGACTTACCAGACGCTGGAAGGGGAGCTTGCGGATCAGAAGCTCGGTGGACTTCTGGTAGCGACGGATCTCACGGAGAGCGACGGTACCAGGCTTGTAGCGGTGAGGCTTCTTGACACCTCCGGTGGAGGGGGCGCTCTTGCGGGCGGCCTTGGAAGCAAGCTGCTTGCGGGGAGCCTTGCCACCGGTGGACTTACGGGCGGCTGTGAGGAAGGAGTCAGCGCTGTGCAAGTGGTTGGCAGGTTGGGCCAGAAAGGAAGTGCGTACTCTGCTTGGTGCGGGCCATTGCGACTGTTGTTTATGGTGATGAAGTTGATGGTTTGGGTGTGGTTGAGATGTTGGTTGGTGTATTGATTGAAGGCGGTGGGTGTGAGTGGATGAGGAGAGAAAAGGTTGGAGTGGGTGGAGGGCAGAGGGAAATAAATAGGTAGGAAACTGGGCTGGCTGCGGAGGGGAGTGATTGTGTGCCAGACGGGAGGTGGCCTGTGCGTCTGCGCGCGACGGTTCGAAAAACCCCGTTTTTGCAGGTGCGATTACTTGGAAAAAGGCAGGCGCAGCTGGCGGGATTCTACGCTTTGTTGTCGAAGTGTGGATGGCTGATTTTTGATTGGCTGGAAATCTGGCATCTGCGACGCCACCCATCTTTCCAGGTCCCACTCCCACGGCCCAAGACCCGGAAGGTAGGTAGGTGTAATACGTACCGGTCCACAGGCATTCTACCCAGAGTTAGTATCCTCACTTTTCCCCATCGAACGCTACCTTGCGACTTCCCTGTCACTCTGTCCGTGGGAAATGCGGGATGCGGCAGCAGGCCCTATGGCGCTTCAATCACGCCTCACCTTGTCTGACGCGGTAGCAAGTACGTAGAAGCAGGAGGACGCGATCTAATACCTGCTGCCCACTGTCACGCGTCTACGTCAGTCGTGGCATTCTTGCTGCAAGCGCAGAGGTCACCACTTTAATGGCAAGCAAATTACGTGCACTTTCATATCGAAAGTAACCGCGTTTGGGTCAAGCGAATAATAGCTTGTTCATTGAATCATCCGGTCGCTTTGTACCGCGGCCGCCGAACATCGAACACTGAAACGCACCGAACAAACAATAAGAAGAGAGATCACTAGGTATTCTATCTGCTGCAGAACACTGCGCGATGAGCTTGAAGGGAACCAAGCGTGCGTGGTTGAAGGCTCTTACCCCGAAGTTCCACAACCTAACCGCCGCGTCGCGCGAAGGAAACCTTGGGGAGGCGCGTAGTAGACCGCATGCACTGTGTCGCACTCACAAGAGGTTTCGACAGTTCGTCTAAACTGCCAGATGGCAGAAGCAGACCCATACTTCTGCGTCTGCCCATCTGCAAAGTCGATGGCGCCTGTGCAGCGGCATAGACGAGCTTGGAATTTTAACTCGTTTTCTTATAGGCTCGTGCCAAATCCATCACCCATGCGGCGGGGGCGATAATACTCTTCCGCTTCGACGTCGAATCCATTTGCATGCATCTGGCGTTGGCCTTGGAGTGAGTCCCCACTGTCCAAACGCAAAGACACAGGAGACGTGCAAGTCGCCGCTGTCGCGTGCAGTCATTGCTATAGGATAGGTATCTGAATACTGTAGCCCTGTACTAATAACGCAACTTTGGCATAATGCAGCATAGAAATGAAGATGTGAGACATCTGTACGATATCTCTCATCGCCAGAGGTGTATTTATCCCCGAAATACCCTGATAGTCCACTATTCCTACGCGCGTGTTGAACGCGTGCAGAACTCGTTTAGCTGTGAGAGGCGGCCGCATTCACTAGCACACTACCTAGGTACCTAGAGCAGATCGATGTGGATGGAGTAAGGGATGGCTTCTGGTTGGCTAAGTAATTGTCCCTTGCTGCCTCAACTGGTCTGTGCACGGAGAAAAAGGCAGTTGTTGTTTTTAATTTTCGCGTCCAGCCCGCATCGGGAGCACTGCTCGGAGTACGTACCATGGCCCTTTTTTTTTTTGGCTGATCCCGAATCTCATCAAGCCCGCGACCTGCTGATATAAATCCCGTTCCCCCTCTTCGCGTCACTCACCATGTTGCTTCCCAACTCAGCCCCACGTTATCTCACGCAACCACTTTCGCATCCCTCCCATTACATCTGTCTCAGAGCCTCACTACCAACATTACACTTACAAACCCCCAACCACTTTACACATAATGACTGGACGTAAGTACATCCATGTGCTGTCATTGATGCAGTCTATATCCGGGTTCTCTCATGCTAACTCCTCTACTAGGCGGCAAGGGCGGCAAGGGCCTCGGAAAGGGCGGCGCTAAGCGTCACCGCAAGATTCTTCGTGACAACATTCAGGGTATCACCAAGCCTGCTATCCGTCGTCTCGCTCGTCGTGGCGGTGTCAAGCGTATCTCTGCCAGTAAGTTGCTCTTGCTTCGTCAAGCATCACCAGCTCATACTAACTCGGTCCTCCCTAGTGATCTATGAGGAGACCCGTGGTGTCCTCAAGTCTTTCCTTGAGGGTGTTATTCGTGACGCCGTCACCTACACTGAGCACGCCAAGCGCAAGACTGTCACTTCTCTGGATGTCGTCTACGCGCTGAAGCGCCAAGGCCGCACCCTGTACGGTTTCGGTGGTTAAGCGTGTTTGTTCTTGCATGTCGGTTACGAATCTTTCTGGGGCCACGACGCGATCCACCTTGAGGCGCGGTGGCACAAACGGACTTTGGGAGTGGCGTGTTTTGTCACGAATGACTATGGGTTTGGCTGGTTTTGGGTGTTCTACTGTACCATACGGGAAACAACGGGGTTCTACATGGATGGCTTGATTGGCTTGAGACATAATCGATCGCTCGCCGAGGCACGTTCTAGTTATTTTTGTGATTCTTTGCTCCTGTGTTCTGTAATGCTGTGCTTAAGATGATGCCCAGCACGATTTGGACTCTAATCGCAGTATTTACTCGTGATCTTCTCTGTTTCCTTAACTTGCCAACTGTGTTGGCAGCCTACCTTTACCGTATCCACTGCCTCGGCAGGCCATGCCACGGTATCACGCGTTTGCTCCACAGCTTACGAAATGACACGCTTTCTTTCAATCTGCGTCAACCTATGTGAAAGGGAAATCTTCGCGAGTCCTGTGCTATGGGACTTATCATGTTAGCAGAGTTCATAATGAAATTGGTGGGCTAGAGATTTCCTGGACATAAACGGGCTTCGCTTTTAGAATGATGAGTGAGGACTGGGTCTCAGTACATGCTCGTTTGGTGCAGATGTTCGCCCACGTGATTGCCGTTTTCCTTCAGGGAGTTATCCTGGCGTCGGTCTCGACGAGGCTAGTCGCGATAGGCGTGTCTTCCAATTTTGATGGTTTATCTTGGTCTAGAGTTGAATGTAGCTCCTTTTGGATCCAGCTGCCGCTTGATCTCATGAGAAGTATATATTTGCAGCGATGTGAATAATACAATGTCTATCACTCTCATATGATGGAGATATACGAAGACTGACTGATCACGAAGGCAGGAAAGAGGAGTCATGTACTTACCGTGGCAATAATGATAGCAACTTGACCATCCAGCGTCATACCGCTCATACCGCTTGTACAAAGGCAAAGCCCGGAGATTCCTCGTGAGATAGTCATCACAGCTCGACTTTCCCCAGGAGTGCTTTCGAAGCGTAATACCCGCACAAGTAAAGTATTCAATTTGTGCGGTTTGGCCATTGTGGACTCGTTCGGAATCCTACGTCTACGGATCGAATGATTACTATATTCACTGACATCAGCGCCAACGACACAAACATCAACGGCATGGTTATGTGTAATATTTATAGCGCGCCTTGCCATCAAGCCGAATGGAAAGGCCAGGGGAAGTAGTGCCGGACGAGCAAACAACGTGAAATGTAGTCGGCGCGCACTTCATCGATTGGAAAGCTGCCCAGTGTGTTGAGGATGTTCGGGTAATGAAAAGATGGGATATGGATAGACAAGGGGACCGCCAGTACGAATTATTTACAGACTGCTGGCAGCATCACGGTTCACACGAACACCTCACAAGGACATCGTCGCAGGGTTGGCAAGAAGCTAAAAGTTACCGCACTTCGTCGTGCGTATCAAACCAGGCTGGTCGGTCTTATTACCAACATGCCGACTCAGTGCGTTTTATTCCATATTTCTGCAAGCAGTGGATTCACTATCGCTACATTGACCAGGATACCGGCGCAAACGGGTCCTTCGTGTTTACATCAAGACGGCCAAGAAGTAAGCGGCAAGCATACCACAACTGGGTTCAAACCCGCTCGAATCAAGGCGCTGGTCGCTCGAGTTATGCTAACGGTCGCACACCAAGACATGATGACCCTCGTGACTCGCAACATTCATGAAGCGGTGGCACTTCAGACCTGGCATGTCCGCGTCTCGGGCATCATGTGTCCAGAACATTGGCAATAGTTTCCCTAGGAGTATAATTTCAGGCGTATGATAGTTCTGGAGGGTTGTAGGAACATCAAGTCGCTAATAAAACATATCTCCAAGAAATTAGGTCCGAATCCGCATCAAGACGGTGCAGATACCTCGAAAGACCATGATCACACAAGCTACTGTGGTGAACGGATATGCTACAGGAAGACGTGTTGCACTTTGACGAAGAGACATACATGATGGGCATGGCTGAGCCACGAATACTCGTGGGACCTCGGACGGAAGGTCGCGTTACGAGCCAAGGTAGGAGAGGCCTCGCGACAGTTGGTTTCCCGTCATGAGTGAAGACGATCAACGCACACCGCCGCGGAACAGCAGCCAGCGGAGCGTAGCAGCACGAACAAGTAGAGCCACCCGACTAGGCTCTTCGGAAATCGCTAGCGAAGGAAGACAGTTGAATAAGGCAGGCATGCAAGGTTGATGATGCTACTTTCGCGGAAGGCAAAGTGCGGCTGAAGCTCGGACAGAGACATCCAGGGACGAGTGAGACGAGGGCTAAGCCACATATTGGGTTCAATTGGAAGGACCAGGGTTTATAGCAGAAATAGGCATCAATTTTCGCATTTTGAAGGGACGGATCAAAGCACACAAATGCAGGGGCGCGGTTGGAGGCAGATGACAAAAGCTCAACGGCCAGGGCTTGAGACATTCATTGGCCTTGTGCCTTCCAGCAGCAGCAGGGCTTGACTTCGGATGGCGCCGGCCGGTAAGGTACTGTTGAAGGGGATGCATGCGCCACCCCCATATTCCTGTTGGAGACTTCTAGGAGCGGATACGAATACCTGCACCAAAGCTGGCTCGCCGACAAGCCACAGTCCACACGCGA